GAAAAGAAAACGTGGAAGAGTTTGTCGTTAACGGCAAATCGTATAATACTTATATATACTGTTGCTGCGCCACGATCGACATATGCTGCTGCGGCACGACGATCGACGTCACCGGCGTTTTTGGTGGTCGCCCTGGATGATTCTTAGACGTCCCCCAAATATGGTATATTCCCTGACTGTAATATATAATTATTTATACATTTGACTTTACATTTAATATAAAGCCCAGCACACTATTTGATAGGAATTTTGACAATAACTAAATTTAAGGTCTTAACGTTATCAGTCTAAAACCTTCCATAGTCGACTAGTCAACTTTATGAAGACTTGGAATTAACGTTAATGTAAGCAGAATATTTCAATTAAAGTTTTTTCGGTAAGCCGACTAAATTTTATCGGTTTAATCGACTATAGGATTGATAAAACGCGAGTTGATTTTTAAATAATTTATTATCTATTAAATGTATTAAATGGTGATTAAAAAAATAAACAAATAAAAATAAAAAAGATATATTTTATGAATATATATATATAATTGTGTCATTGAATCATTAACTTGAATATGAATCCATAAATCATATCAGATACAGTGCATTTATCATCATCAATCACAAACCGCATATCCGCGCGATTCTAATAAATAAAGGTGTTGATATTTTAAGGCGATCAAAAAAAACAAAGCTAGGAAGATATATACATTGTATAAATATTGTGAAAACGATGGCACCAAATAGTTTTATTCTTCCTGATTTTTCTGATCTTTTCCAAGATTTACCTTCTAAACAACCATCCATAATGTCACAGTCACAAGTTGATAAGCCCGGTCCTATAATTGTGAGACCTTTACCTGATATTCAGACTTTCATAGGTACTTATTTTCTATATACAATTCCCACAACTTCTTATTACATTGTGTTATCCAATGGTGGCGACACGAACAGATTAGTCTTTTCCGCAAATTTTGTTCCGTCTGATACCGAAAAATGGGTTAAATTTGATGACAAGTTACGAAAATTATCTGGAACTCCACCTAAAGATGCTACTCAAAACACTACTGTACATTTATACATCTCGGATCCTGGGTACGGAAGCACAAATACCACTATGCACATTCTTGTTTCAGACTGTGAGGGTGAGATGTGTATTAATTACATACCACAAAAAATTTTAGCAATAATCATTGTTTTATCCGTCGCATTTGGTATCTGCGTTCTTTCTGTGCTTGGTTTTATTCTTTTCAAGAAGTGGCAAAAATGGGCTAAAAAAATTGCTTTACGCAATCAACCTAATTTCCTTTCAACGGCTCCAAGACATCATGAACAAGATCACCGCGGAATTGTAGAAATGTCTCAGTCTTATCCATTCAATGAATCAAACGAATCAAGATGTAAAGTGTGTGATAATATCATACCTGAAGAGTTAGACAAAGTACATTATAATGATCCAGCCTTGTTCTCTGATGGCACTGTGAATCAATTTCCATTAAACAACAACAATTCTGGCTCCTCCAATTTTAACAACGTTGCTTCTTCTGATTCTTTGGGTTTAGGCATCTCTATGCCGGGTCTTTCTAACTTGAACGATTTTGAACTACAGATTCCGAATACAATAGACATCGGCTCTTATACACCAGCAGTACATCCACTCAAAAGTACTACATCTTCTGTCTATTCTGTTTCGTCTGCTACTGCCTCATGCGATAATATCACCCAGACTGTCTCATCGACAGTTTTAAAAAGTGATCCAAACACTGAACTTACAGAATCGGATATACCAATACTTTACGCAAAATTAGGCGTTTTATTTCAATATTCTGTTAAAAATTTAATCCGTTCTTCCACTCGTCATAAACGTCCCTCGTTCATTAAGGCTGTTACTGAACCAAATAATAGTCTGCTTCCAGATTGGCTCCATTTTAGTACAGGAGATGCTAATTTTTGGGGAATCCCTTACAAAAATGATATCGGAAAGACCAAAATTAAGGTACTGCAGAGTGTTCGTGATGTGAGAGCTCAAGAAAGCAATGAAACGAAATACAATAATAGCCTAAGCCACATTTCTCATGAACTCGATTCGATTGAGTCCAATTTTCAAGTTTTGGAAAAGTTTATTCTGATAGTTGTTGAAAATGATATTGAAATCGAATACAAATAATTTTATTTTTCTTTCGTTTTAGTGAGGATTCTTTTACGTACATGCAATAATTTTTATTATGTAAAATAACTGGGTAATGGAAACGAACAATATATGTCTAGCAATTATTTTTTAAACTGTACAGATGGTATGTTATATTTTATAGATTAGCAATTTTAACAGTCTACTGCCTTTATTAATACATCAATTTGCTTATATCGATAAATGGTTTGCTAATTAATACTAGTGATTTGAACAAATCATTCAATTTAATTTACTGTATTATACAAATTTGTTTAAATAGTTTAGTATTTCAAAAGATTAAGAAATTATTAATTAGATCACCAGAAGTTACGTATTGCTATTAAAAGAAAAATAGTACGTATATACAGTATACCAAAAATAGACTATTTAAATTAGAAGCATGAGTGGTTAATAAGGGTAACTAAGTATTTTTTTTCTTAAGCGATTCTGTCTTTATTTTATTAAGATATATTGTATATTAGCTCCGAACAGCCTATTGGGACCTGGTGTTTGGTATGCAGCAAAATTATTATCGAATCTAATATTTAAGCCTAATAAAAGGTTATACAGTTTTCTAATACTAAGATTAGTATACTTATGTATAATCTGCTATGCCAAAAAATCTTTGTCTAGAGATCTCAACTTACTAAGAATTTATTCCTTTGGGTTTTTTACAGAAACCTGTAGTTTTTGACAAATATAATTATCATATAATTATTATATGATAAAAATATTATAAGTATAAAACATGATAGATATATTATTAATATATTACTATATAATATATAACAAGTATATGATAAAAATATTTTCAAAACTGTTAAGTCACTTGTAAGACAATGTTTGGTAAATGATTATATAATTATTATATGATTATTATATTATAAATATATAATATAATTTTATAGCTTTGATATAAAACATATAAATTATTGTGATCACATATCTAACTTATTACATTTGCTGTAGATGGAAAGTGGCTATAATACTATTATCAGGTTAAAAGTATTAAAAGCTTTAAACATCAATCAAGAATCATCGCTGCAAATAATATTAGAATATTGAAAATGAAACTCAGTTCACCTGTGTCTGATGCGGATGAGAATCTTTACGGGGCTATTAAAAAAAAGTATTGACGAAACTTTAGACATTTCCAAACTCACCTGGAGAGATCCGATTGCAAGTACTGTTCTTAGTGATGATATGAATATAATAAAAAATCTAAGTC